TTTTTTTTTTTTTTTTGGGGGGGGGGGGGTGTGGCGTTTCATCTTTTAATTACGTAACTTTCAAATTTTGATCGTTTACATGTATATGGATTATGAAATGAGTGATAGGCAGGACTATTCTTCCCAATATTTATTATAATTTCTTAATTTAATGTATAATAAGAAAAAGCAATCCTTGTAATTTTAATGAGATCATCTCATGATTTTTTCTTGAATGTCCCTAAAGACTCTTGGTGAATTTTTACAATATGACAAATAATTTATTGAAAATTTTGATTTATATCATGCAATTAAAAATAAATTGTTACACATAAAATTAACTCAATTGTCGAACATGAACGAAAATTAAATCTTTACATCAAAATTAGCGTTTAACATTATATCCTTAAGATATATTTTACCCCCACATTGGTGTTAAGACATGTCAAAAGAATTCGTCTATCTAAATCGAACTAGTGGACTCAATGCTACCTGCAATATACTATGATATTTAATTTTAAGACTATATATCCTTTTATAAGAGATTGATTTTAGAGTAAAATATTCATTCATGTAAGTGAGATATTGCATGTTCAAATTCTAGAATCAATCTCTCAAAAATAGAAGCAACTATCTACTTTTTATTTTCCATACCCTACAATAAATGAGTTTTATAAATCTCTTACATTTCTAAATCCAAATTTTATATGTTTAACTTATAATTGTCAACTAATTGATACGCATGTGTGTTGCACGTAGATTATTTTAAATATAAAATATTACATATTGGAGTTGTAAATATTATGAAACAATATTAACCACACAAACGTGGTAATTACAAGAGTTCATTGCATAATGAAGTCTTTAATTTAAGATATTACAAGCAATTAGCACCTAACCGACTTAAGAAATGATCTATGTCACATATAAGAAAAAAAGACAAAAATTATATCAAGAAACGAAATGATTAATGACATATACAATCAAGTCAAAAATAAAAAAAAAAACAATACTAACTTAAATGTTAGATTCCTTCAAGATTATTTATTAAAATTTCTAGAATAATAAAAACTCAAAGGCTTCTTCATTTTTTACTGATTCTCCAACAAGATTTTTTTAGTTTTCCATTTGATTTTCTATTACAAATATATAATGTTGTATAGAAAATACCAAAACATATATATTTGGGATCTTTGTTAAAAATTTGTGGAACCATTTTCTGATAAAGGAAATAACTGGCGCCTCAAAAAATATTACTTTTCAATACTAAAAAATGACAAATGTCATCACAGTGAGAGCTTCTATTAAAAAAAATTAACCGATAGATCAGTGGATGAAACAAATCAAATGTTTTTATAAACCTCTCGGGAATGATTTGTATGCATGAGAGTTGGGAATGAGGAGGTCTATGATTTTGACTGTTTGACAAATGAATGATTGACAATCATCAAAAAAGGGTGCATAATTTGTTCATAGAATATTAAACAAACATTTATTTTAAGAATTTGGAGAGTCTAGATGTTAGTTAGCTTTGCCTATCAATTATTTGTAGAAGTAGCAAGAATATGAAAAACTTGGGATTGTTAATGAGAACTAATATTGAATAATAATTAGGAGTAAACAAGAAAAACAAAATTTTTTATGATTGGTACATGTAAATGTAATTAATTTTATGTTAGAGAAGGTCAAAAGACAATAAAAGATATAATGGACATTAAACTTAAATGAGTAAATAAGTAGTGAGTTTTGTGCATAGTCATTTGTGAAAGTAACATGAATATGAGAAGTCTCAAATAATTAATCAATATATTTATGTACAACTGAATTCTAGTAGTTATTTAGTGATGGAAAAAATGGTTATTAAAACATTAATTAAAGGTAAAAAGAGAAAACAAAAGTGTTTTTTGTTTAAGGTACTTTTATAGTAATAGAGATGTGTCAAATGCAAATCTCTTACATTTCACAAATTACACCATTTGTCATTTGCCTTATGGGAAATGGGATCAACCACTTTTATTTTTTGAACACGGGGATCAACCAGTTTTCAATGCATCCAATATGAGCTTGTAGCATTACGAATCAACCTAAATGATGCATCAATTAGATACCAAAAACCGAATTACCTTCAACCCAAAAATTACAAATAATAATGCTATATTCATCAAAAAATTTATTCAGATTTTATATTCCAAATCAAAGTGAATATAGGGTTAGTAAGACTCATAACTTTCACAAATTATCAACTGATTATTAATATGCCACATAATTTAAATAATAATTTTTTTGATAAACACAATTTCACAAGTTCAAAATACAAGAGAAAATTGCTTGTAATGGTACCATATTATCCAAAGCACCACAAAAACAAAAACAAAACAAAAATTCTCATACCTCAAAAATAGAATTGAAAAATGAGGTTTGAATTTAAAATTTAAATTTTCATTATTATATATTTTTTATTTTTTTATGGGTCATATATCGGGAATTTAAATGAAATCTATTATATATAATTGAGTCACTCACTTATTAGTAATAAATAATATGTCAAGAAGAAAAATAAAAAAATATTAGAGGAGAACGTATCTAATTTAGTTTCCTATACTAAAGTTTTTGTTTAAACCAATACAAATTAAGTAGAGGACACGAGGGCATAGACGTCGTTGTCGTCAATATACGAACTAGGAAAAAATCGGGTGTGCACAGTGGTAATGATCCAACTAAATGCAGTTACAGTAATAAATGCAACCGCACCATACAGATGTCCACGTGTGGTTGTAGGACACGTGTTCGTCAGAACAAAAAACCTCCGGTTGTCCAAAGCCCACGTCCAACCGGATCCAGCTGGCATTGTTCCTCACGCAATAACCGTTTCTCCACCCTCTTTTTTTTTTTTTTATTTGGAGCTATGCTGATTAAATTGTTATCTAAATTTTATATTTTAAATTACATTATATTGATTAAATTTTGATATTATATTTAGAGATCAAATGATATGACAGTTGATTTGAATTTTTTTATTTGGTATCATGTCATTTGAGATCCAATAAAAATTCAAAAAAATATGATGTCATGTCATTTGAACTCAAAATTTAATCCTAAAATTTGATCAGTCTAACATTACTGTTTAAATTAACCTAAGTGGTTAGATTAATGAGATTTATTAGCTCAACTAAATATTCAATATATAAAATTTTAACATCACTTAAAATACAAGATTTAATAAAAAAATTTGTGTCACACAATTTTATCCTTTTTTTTTTCTTTTTTTGTCATGTCCGAGTTATCCAATGGATGCTGTCGCCTGTCATTGTATTGAATCAAACATGTTATATTTATTAAAAAATCATTGAACTTTTTTATTTTAAATCAATATGGGTGACCTTATTAAGGGTAGGGGTATCATGATAGAATTATATATTAAAAACTTATTTTTTTGTAATAAAATTTAATTTATCATTTAATAAACGCTCATTGTTTCCTAATTCAATGAGAATGTGTAGGTAAAATATTTACATT